ATGAAAAAAATAGGGCTCTGTTTTCACGGAACGTTTATTTAAAAGTGTAAAATTTGTTATATTAACTTGAAAAAATTATATCGGTCAAATGACCCTCTCCTGAGTTAATACACATTTGTGCTCGTTTTACGGCATTTAAAATTGTTGCTCACAAAATATCAGGCTCCAAATTGGCGATTTCTTCTTTCTTTAATGTTAGCTTTCAAGAGTTGCAGGGTTTGTGGTTTGTTGCGTTAAACGCGAGATTTCAAAAAGCCCCAAAGAAAGAAGTCTGGCGCCGTCAGATCTGGCCGGCCAGTTCAAATCGCCAAAACGGGAGATCATACGGCCCGGAAATTGGCGTTTCAAAATCTCCATCGTTGCCCGAGCTGTGTGAGCGGTTNGACGTCAAAGAAAAGCACTGAATGGGGCAGGATCACTTGACAGATGATAAACACAACACAGAGTCATCCGCGCATTACCACAATGCTCAGCTCTCATCGCAAGCACCAACAGTGGGGTAACAGAAATCCCTCTACGTGCCGTAATAAGAACATCTCCACCATCGAATGTTTCAGAATACATCGAGCATCCGTCACGACAATACATGTTGTACTCACATTAAAATATTGTGAGTTTGAACAGCTAATTTCAGTTCTTGTGCGTAATCTGCGCACATTCTTGTAATACAAGGTGGGGCAAAAGTAATGTCATAATGTGAATTAGCTGCCATTTTGTTAGAAATGAAAAAAATAGGGCTCTGTTTTCACGGAACGTTTATTTAAAAGTGTAAAATTTGTTATATTAACTTGAAAAAATTATATCGGTCAAATGACCCCCTCCTGAGTTAATACACATTTGTGCTCGTTTTACGGCATTTAAAATTGTTGCTCGCAAAATATCAGGCTCCAAATTGGCGATTTCTTCTTTAATGTTAGCTTTCAAGAGTTGCAGGGTTTGTGGTTTGTTGCGGTAAACGCGAGATTTCAAAAAGCCCCAAAGAAAGAAGTCTGGCGCCGTCAGATCTGGCGATCTGGCCGGCCAGTTCAAATCGCCAAAACGGGAGATCATACGGCCCGGAAATTGGCGTTTCAAAATCTCCATCGTTGCCCGAGCTGTGTGAGCGGTTGCTCCATCCTGTTGGAACCAACAATGCTCGAGACCCAATTCAGCGATTTGCGGCAAAAAAAAATTGTTTAACATGTGTCTGTAACGCTCACCAGTTACGGTTACGGTGGTGCCGTCGCCGTCCTCAAAAAAATAAGGGCCAATCACTTTTTCACTGCATATGCCGCACCAAACAGTCACTTTGAGGGGATGCAATGGCTCTTCGTGCATTTCATGTGGATTCTCCGTACCCCAGAAACGCATATTTTGTTTGTTCACATAACCGCTTAAGTGGAAATGGGCTTCGTCGCTCATTATGATTTTGGATACGAAATCATCGTCTTCTTGCACCAGGTTTAAGAGAGCATGGGAGTAAGTTAACCTCACTTGACGGTCAGCAGGCAGCAATTGGTGAACGGTTTGGACTTTATACGGAAACAACTTCAGGTCTTTCACCAAAATTCGACGCAACGAACGTCTGCTGATACCGAATTGTGTGCATCGTTGTCTCGTCGATGTTTGTGGACTCTCTCGGACGTCCTCGGCCAACGCAGCGATATTCTCAACCGAACGAGCATTACGGGGCCGGCCACTTCTTGCAGCATCTCTAGTGGACCCAGTTTGCACGAGACGCTCAGCCAAACGCTTAATTGTTCGCGCACAAGGTGCAGGACGACGAGGAAAACGACGACGAAATTCCCGCTGCGTTAAAACAACAGACCGAAAATTCGTCAAATAAGCAGTAACAATATTTCCGCGTTCTTCGAGCGTGTATCGCTCCATTGCTTATTGTCAACTAATTCTCTATCTGTCTACAACATAAATGTCAAAACACAATGATATTTGACGCCATTTGCAATAATTATGATACATTCACATTATGACATTACTTTTGCCTCACCTGTTATATCGTGAAAAGCATTGCAGCGATCGAAATACCCGATTCAAATGTTATAAAAAAAGTCAAGAGACCTAAAGTTTCCTTAGGTCGGTTGGCAAGAGTTTTTGTAGCCTTTTTCACGACACTTCCTTTTTAGTGATTCTAAAAAGCTCTGCATTACAAGGTGCAAGATGCTTATTTACGAGCAGTTTGTCAGTCGGATTCGGGATGCAGATGCCCGTTGGCCCCGTACTATTGTTCAATCGGAAAACATTTGCAGCTGAAACATTTACTACCACCGATACCTACATTTTTTCCAGAAGCAATCCGACTCGGTGGACAGCTTCGATATTACTCTCGGTTATCGGACAGCTTGTATGTATGTATGTATGTATGTAGAGGGGTGCGTAATTTTTACGCGCACTCTATCGGACAGCTTATAACCTCACCGATACGGGATAATAGAAATATTCGTCTTTTTTCTCGGAAGTGCCCAACAAAATTTAATTATTCAGCCTGGAATCCGAGATAACCCACTTGTCCTGCTTAATCCTATCCCTGAAGTTTTTAATAGTACCTCCAAAATCAGAAATTTAACATTATAAAAAGGAAGAGACTTTAACATTTCATTATGCTTTGCGTCCATGTCATTAATATCCAACTAAATTGATTTCAAAATACAAAGCAGTTCAGGCATCGTAGGCTCGGATGAAGACGAGGATGGAGTAGGATCATCATCCAGAATAATTGAGCAATTTGCACCGTCACTACAATTAGGGCATTTCCAAAAAACACGATCAGCCGTTAACCGAGCCAGTTTTACCTTGGGAATTTGTACTCGGCCAGCATGGAAACACACTTAAAATACCGAGTAAATTGAACGGGCAGAAATTCGGTGCTGATTCACACTCCATTTCTACTACATTAATGCGATTAACAAAACAAGAATAATTTAAGAACACTTGAGAATAATTCTTCAATATGAAGAACAATTTTAGAAGACTAATTTTGGAAGTATTTTTATACGTTTTATTGCTCTCGAAAATGGTTACAATAATAAATAAATACAGTTATTCATATGCGGCCCATATTCGTCAGAATAATTAAACAACAAAGTTGAGAGTTGTATTAATTGGGTCGCAAACAACGTCAACTGGTAAATGGCTAAATGATAGTTTATATGCGGGTTCGAGATAATAAACAGAACTGGTTGACGTTCTACTTCGCTGAGGACGATATCCCATCAATTTTGCATGGGATTATCTAAATTAAGTTGGCTACCTTTTACATTTCGTTTTTTATTTATTTTGTTGTTATTTTCTTTATTATTTTAATCTATTATTTCATCTCTTTTAGACGCATTTTTAATAGTTTAAATTTAGATTTATATAGTATTATTGATCTATTAATCGTAGCTTAAATCCAGGACAGTAAACGCATTTTTCTTGAAATTGTTATATAATTTGTTGGGAACCAAAATTAATGAAACTAAAATCGGTATGTTCTGCTGTCGTTTGAATGGACATTTATTACTAATGCACGAATAAGGTTAAAATCTCACTGTTCTCTTAAAAATACCTGGGCGTCATGCTCGGTGGCATCGTCTATCTTGGTTTTATTAAAACAATTCATCGAAAGACTACGAAGAGTTTTTATCCTAACACATTATTCCCTCCCAAAAATATAACTTAATATGATCCAACTATTCTTATTAATATGAGTTGTAAAGCTTATTCTTTCATGGTTATTTTTTTATTTCGTTAGTTTTTTCCTTGAAAATAATATATGTTGTAATTATCCATGTTGCAAGGTGTATATAAATAATGAAAAATCAAAATTAACCTCTTACTTGCGTTTTATTATTTGCTTCGATACTAATTTCAAGGTATTACCTCATCTTCAGTCGAAAACTACAAGAATTTTTATAATTAGGAAAAATTAATTATGTTAAAATAAAATAAAAAACTTACAGTCAAAAATGAAGTTCACAATTGAGAAAAACATTACCAAAAATATTATCAAAAAATTTTAAACATGTTGAAACGGAGAAAATTTTAATGCGCAGCAAAAATATATTATGAAGGTCAAAAGGAAAATTATTTATACGAGGTTAAATCTAAAATATAAAGCGGTTAACGATACGAACAAATTAAAAATATAAAAACTTACGAAAAAGTTAGATGATAAATTTAGCATAGGCTGCGAGACTATTAAGGTAAAAGGCCGAAAAACGTTAGAAAAATTTTTAAAAATACGTTAGAAGTCTCGCAGCGATGCGTAGGAGATACGAGAAGAGAAGAGACTAAAACGACTAACGGAAAAAGAACCGCAGGTCAGGAAACGTGTTCGCGAGGGAAGAGGGAAATCAACATTTAAGTTTAAAATCTTTTAAATATGTAAATATGGGTTTCTGTGTTAATTGAAGTTGATCATTTAAGAGTACAAATTCTTCATTGTTTTTATGTTTAACGATTTCAAGAATTTCAAGAAAATCAAGTTTATGACTTTTGTTACATTTATGTAATAGTTTAATATCTTTGTAATTAATAATATGACCTGTTTCAATGTGGTGTTTGTAGATGTTAGAGTTAGCTTTACTTTTATGCTCGCGAACACGTGTCCCAAGCGCACGTCCCGTTTGACCAACGTATATGGCATCGCAGTTAGAGCATCCAATCGAATATACTCCACTTTCTTTTAAAACATCAGAATTTTTAGGGTTGTAGTTAGAAAGAAGTTTCATGATAGAATTATTATTAGAGTATGCAAGGGAAATATTATATTTTGAAAAGATATGTTGGGCACGGGAAGTGACGTGGTTGTAGACTATGGGTTTATAAATTTTATTAATTTTATTATTAGTATGAAGGGTGTCTCTCTACTGTTGAATTCTGTAAAAGAGTTTATCAATAATATGTTTAGGGAAGTTATTATTATATGCCGAAGTGTATATGTAGTTATTTTCGTTAATTTTATTAATTTGAGAAAGGGGATAACTAAGTGCTCTATTAAAGAGAAAACGAAAATTAGCGAGTTTGTGGTTTAAAGGGTGTTCAGAATCAAAAGGTATAGTAGTAGGTATGGCTGAAGGCTTTCTATAAACATTAAAATCAATAAGGTTGTTGTTTTTCCTATTTAAATTTAAATCTAAAAAGTTTAGCTGTTCATCTTTCTCTATTTCAAGGGTAAAATTCAAGTTTTTGTACAAATTATTGAGATATTCGTGAAAACATACCAATTCCTCATCACTTCCCGTCCACAAACAAAAAATATCGTCAACATAACGTAACCATTTGATAAATCTCCCAAAATAAGGGTTAACACTGTTTAAAATGAAATTATTTTCAATGTGGTTCAGAAAAATGTCAGCCAAAAGTCCCGACAATGGCATTCCCATAGGAAGCCCATCGGCAACAAAAAAGAAATCATCATTAAAAGAACAATAATTTTGTGTAACTATTGCCTTAGAATTATATTAAGATGTTCGATGGTAGTATTTTTATTTTTGAAAAAGGATTTAAAAAGATTAGAAGTTATATCTAAAGTGAAATCAATAGGGACATTAGAATAAAGCTTAGTCACATCAAAGGATATCGTGATACCATCTTGTATTTTAACATCTTTGATAGAATCAATAAATTGAATGGAGTTACGTACAGTAAAATTAGGAATGAAATTAATATTTTGAAAAATTTTTAACATGAAATTAGCGAGTTTCTGAGCGGGGGAGTTACCAAAAGCAGTTATAGGCCTGATGGGCATGTCAGTTTTATGCAATTTAGGGAGTGAATAAAGTTTAGGAATATTATAATTCATGTGTAAAAACAATGAGGTGGAAAAATACTTATTTTTAGAATTATTAAGGTGTGGAGTATATTCGATTAAAGTATCTTTACAGTGGTTGATTACTTCTTTACTTTTTCTAATTATTTTATCTAAAGGATTGGTTTTCAATTTGCTATAATTATCGTTATTTAAAAATTCATAGGTTTTTTGAATATAAACATCTCTGTCAAGGATCACAAAACCTGCACCCTTATCGGCTTTGACAAATATAGCATTATTATCATCTTTAAGTTTTTCTTTAATAGATTTAATTAATTTCCATTTATCAGAATGATCATTTTTATATTTATTTGAATTTATAACAAAACAATAAGTTTTTATTTAAAAAATGAATCAATTCGGGTTTTATTTCGTTATAGTTAGGGTGGTTTTTAATAATTATGTCAAAGTCGATAGAGACCTCGGGAACATTAATTTTAGCGGGAAGAGCAAATTTGTGACCTCTTTCTAAAAAGAAAGTTTCTTCAGCATTAAATTCAATTTGTGTTAAATTTTTAAATTGACTAATTTTAACGTTTTTTAAATTATTTTGTTTAAAATTTCTTACATCATCTTCTTTTCTTTCTCTCTTCTTAAGACTTTCAAACTTCATGTTTTTCTTCCTCCTGTCCTCGCACCCATAAATGATCGCTTCATTCTTCGCCCTTACTATTATCTCATCAAGCTCAAGGAAATGGTAGAATACCCGAAGTTCCCGTTGCATTAAGGCAAGTTTCTTGTATGTGGTGTCTAAAGTGATAAAGTGTCTCCTCTTCTCATCCCTCAATATCTTCGTCGTTATGTGATTTTTAGTTGAAATTTTAAGTTTTAAACATTTTATCCTAGCAAAATTGGGTGTGATTTTCTCTTTAAGGCATCTATTTATAAAATTTATATGGTTTTTGGTGATCTCAAGTTTCTTGTGTAGAGAAACTAATAATAAAACTGAAACTTCTTTCTAACTACAACCCTAAAAATTCTGATATTTTAAAAGAAAGTGGAGTATATTCGATTGGATGCTCTAACTGCGATGCCATATACGTTGGTCAAACGGGACGTGCGCTTGGGACACGTGTTCGCGAGCATAAAAGTAAAGCTAATTCTAACATCTATAAATACCACATTGAAACAGGTCATATTATTAATTACAAAGATATTAAACTATTACATAAATGTAACAAAAGTCATAAACTTGATTTTCTTGAAATTCTTGAAATCGTTAAACATAAAAACAATGAAGAATTTGTACTCTTAAATGATCAACTTCAATTAACACAGAAACCCATATTTACATATTTAAAAGATTTTAAACTTAAATGCTGATTTCCCCCTTCCCTCGCGAACACGTTTCCTGACCTGCGGTTCTTTTTCCGTTAGTCGTTTTAGTCTCTTCTCTTCTCGTACCTCCTACGCATCGCTGCGAGACTTCTAACGTATTTTTAAAAATTTGTCTAACGTTTTTCGGCCTTTTACCTTAAAAGTCTCGCAGCCTATGCTAAATTTATCATCTAACTTTTTCGTAAGTTTTTATATTTTTAATTTGTTCGTATCGTTAACCGCTTTATATTTTAGATTTAACCTCTTATAAATAATTTTTTTGGTCTTCAACCACGTTTTACCTTTTGACCTTCATAATATATTTTTGCTGCGCATTAAAATTTTTCTCAATTGTGAACTCCATTTTTGACTGTAAGTTTTTTATTTTATTTTAACATAATTAATTTTTCCTAATTATAAAAATTCTTGTAGTTTTCGACTGAAGATGAGGTAATACCTCGAAACTAGTATCGAAGCAAATAATAGAAAGCAAGTAAGAGGTTAATTTTGATTTTTCATTATTGAAAATAATAGTTTTCACATAAAAAAATAAAATATCATGCCATAATCACATAAATTTTGTGATGGAAATGCGGAAGTTGCGTTCAAAGAATACGCTAGAATGTTTCCTAGCAGAAGATGTCCTGATCACCGTTTTCGGCAATATGGTTTAAGAACCCAGCAAGTACCAAATAATCAGTATTGTGATACCACATTAAGCAGTCGTTAGGCTACTTCAAGCTTAAAATTTAAGAGTATCAAGAAACAGAACTTTACGCACATTAAAGAAGCATAGGAAACCCTCTCGTTTTCAACCTGTACAAAATTTATGACCAGAAGATAAAATACTAACTTTTTGTAGGTGGTTGGTACAGACTTGAAAATAATAAAAAGCAATCAAATAATGTTGTCAACGTTATACCTCATCTAACTTCTGAGATAACGGAAATTTTATGTTTCTTTATGGCAGTTATGTGCCTAGCGGTCGGATTACAAACTTCAAAATAATTTCCAGATATTTCTCTTGCCCACTTTGCCGATAAGATTTTTTCCCAAATCTCTAGGCCTTACCATTGTCGAGATTCAGCCGCTCCGTGCACTTAAGAGGACACCCAGTATATGAAGCTTAATATTCGTTCAAATGTATATTTTTATATGTTGACTTTCTGGCTCTCTTGATCTGGGTCTTAACACTTTGTAGCTGGCGTTTAGCAGTATGATACCTCAGTGGTTGGTACAGGTTAGTTGTCTCACATTTTATATATAAACTGGAGGCCAGCTAACATCCACTCTTTTGGACTCTATATGGCGGCAGAGTGAAGACGCGCGTTGTTTCGCTCCACAGAATTAGTTTGTGTAAAAGTAATTTTTGTTCGCAATCGGAGAAAAATTTAGTGCTGCAGCAGAAAGGAAAGATTTCGTTAAAGCGTGTGTGATTGATATTGTTAAAGATGTGGATTTCTTAAATATTTTACGAGATACTATATCAATGGAGGTGGGACGGGTTTTCTCCGAGAAAATCAAGTTCCTCGAAGACCGGATCAGACAACTGACGAAAACAAATAGTGCGTTGACCGATAAATGTGATGATGACGTGAAAGGAGCCATAACCGGAGAAAGAAAAACGTATTTCAATTATTGTATGAAACACAATCAAATTAAGATTGCGTAAATGTGGCATTCTAACTCATTCAACCAATAGAATTCCTGAACAGCTAATCAAATTAATGATTACTTGGTAAACGTAGTTCCTTAAATCAA